GGCTTGGGGGGGGAGGGGGGGGGGGGGCAACCAACCTGTTGGGAACTCCTCGGAGGCGTCGATATTAGCCATCTCCTCAATAAGCAGCTTCTCCCGTGTGGCCTCGCGCCGGCGCAGTTTCTGCTCAGGGGTCGGCTTGGCTTTCGACCGCTTGCGGATCTTCTTCCGGGGTGCAGCAGCTTCTCCCCCTGCATCCGCCGAACCCGCGTCTACCTGCCTCCCCTCCTCCTTTACCGCCTCATCCGTCGCAGCAGACACCACTGCCTCCTCCTCCTTCTTCCGCTTCTTCGGCTTCGCCTCCTCACCAACCTCCTCAATCGCTTCAGACCCCGCCTCTCCGTCACCACTGGCCGCCTTCCGCTTCTTGGCCTTCTTGACCTCTGTCACCTCATCGCGCGCATCCGCTTCCTCCTCCAGCGCGCGCTTCTTCTTCTCCTTCTTCCCCTCCGTCACTTCATGGCCCGCATCCTCCTCCTCCGCCGCGCGCTTCTTCTTTTTGCTCTTCTTCTTCGTACCAACCTCCTCCTCCTCCGTGATCCTCTTCGCCTTCTTCGACTTCTCCCCGTCCGCGGATTCCGAACCCTTCTTGGACTTTCGCGGCGCGGTGTCGTCGTCCGAGGCGGGCTTCGGGGTCTTCTTTTTGACGACGGAGAGGGAGTCGGAGGCGAAATCGGGGGGAGGGTTGGACTTTTTCGACTTCGCCATTTTGAGGGTGGGGTCGGGGCCGCACGGAAGTTGGCAACTGCAAAAGAAGACGCGGGTCGGAGTCGTCCGAAAAAATGTTTTGGATTTGTGAAGGCGCAGTGTGGCTTGGTTTGGATTCCCGGGAAAACATTAGCTGGTTAATATTTTAAAAGGAAACCTTGTGTTATGCATGGTTGGTTTAGTGGCATAATTACCGCCTGCCATTTCAGGCCGGGTCGCGGTAGACCCGGGTTCGATTCCCGGACCATGCAAGGGCTGACAGGTGCTTGCTAACGCAGACCCGGGTTCGCTTCTCGGACCATGCAAGAATTGATAGATTTTCGTCGATTTTGCTTGTCCGGAAAGACCCCCCTCCCCCTCAGGTGGTAAGTTTCAACCGTGGCTTCCTCTTTCATCATAAAATAACGACCCATTCCCCGTCGGCTGCGGGTTCGCGGAAGATATCCTCGACTCTACCCAGGAGTTCGGGCGTGACGTCGCATGAACCGACTTCATACGGTGGGTGGCAGTTGCATCTCATCGTAACTGCTTCATTTGGAATCATGCGTGAACCTGACTCTCCTCAAAACCGCTCCGATCTGAAACCTCTTTTTTTGGGGGTGCAAACCTCAACAACTTCGATCTGGAACCTGTTGCAGGTGAGACGGCCCCATCGTATGCACGTTGCCCCCGCAGCTAACTTGGCGAGAGATGACGTTGGGGAGGCGGAGGTGGCGAGACGATTGCGTTCTCTTTTTTTCTGTCACTGGTTTTCGAGATGAAAAAGAGCAACCGCAATTGGCCTCCACCCGCCTGATCTCTTTTGATCCCTGAAGTTACACGGCAGGGGGAAGGGAGGGCGGAGGTAGCAAAGTGGGGATAGGAAAACGTGCCGCTTGACCCGGGTCCGATTCCCCCAGTGCGCTTACTTACCTGAGACACTCCTCCATTTTTTGGACCCTTCCCCCCTCCTCATCTCCGTCGACTGCGTTGTCATTATCGACTCTATCAGGAATTTCGGCGAAAGGAGGTGCATGGATTCGACGTCATCAGGGGCCAGTTCCCATCGGGTTTAGAAGTAACAGTTGATTCTTGTCTCTGAATGAAGAAGTGGGCCTTCCGGCACGGCTCCGACATGAAAGCAGTTTGGGAGGTCCAATTTCCAGCGACTCCGATTTGGAACCCATTAGAGTGCAGGAAAGCTTTTCCCTCCCCCCGCAAGACGACGCGTTCTTTTTTTCTGTCGCGGGGTCCTCGATATAGCAGAGCATAAGTACACGGCAGGTCCCAGCAGGGTTTCATTCGGGGGCCCTCCCAAAGTCGTGCCCGAAGTTTGAAGACGTGCGGGTGAATAGGATATTGGGGGGGTGAGCCAAATGTGCGCATCCGTTGCAGACAACTTGAGACAAGCGACCCCTAGAGCGACCCCCCGATCACTGCGTATTTGCGGACATCTTCGGCACACATGATTGTGTTTCGCTTATGTAATTATGGGGTCGACGGTAAACCCGGGGTCGGTTCCCCGGAGGCCGGGCTCCACGATTGTTGAACCCTTTCCGCTTCCCACTACTCTTTTTTGGTTTGGTGCCAGACCCCGCCCCCCCTCTCCATTTCATCACCATCCTCGACTCTGTGAACAATGCCGGGGCTTTGCTTCGACATCATCGATAGGTTCGTTGCAATATTCTTATGTATCGCTTGGGAGCCCCGCGCCTTGCTTCAGACCGTGGACAAAAACGTTTCGATGTGGAAACTGTTTGGAGCAA